AAGGGGGGGGTCTCCTGTTCCATGCCAGAATACACTGATCAGCAGTTGTAGCCATTGGCTGCGAGCACTGATCGAATGTTGGTTTTTCAACAAGATAGTTCAACAGCATTAATCATTAGACCAACTGCTGTTGAACAGACAGCTGTACACACGGACCAAAATTTTGAACTGATGAATTTTCGGCCCTTGTGTGCTGGGCTTTATGCTTCACCTTTCTGCCAGGAGCGTACGCAAATTCATGCACAGAATTTCATTCTACTGGGTAGAACATTCATTTGTTGTAGCCACTAAGCTGAAACTTGCACTTTTTTTTTTCTTTCTAATGCTCTGAACACTGCTCTAAATTATATATTAAACCACTTCAATACCGGGCCCTTTCACCCCTTCCTGCCCAGGCCAGTTTTCAGCTTTCAGCACTCTTATTTTTTGAGACGGATAGAGCTTTCTTTTGGTGATATTTAATCACCACTGGGGTTTTTCTTTTTTGCTCAACAAAAAAAAATGAAAATTTTGGGGAAAAAAACCCTCTCTCTTGGTTTCTGTTATCAAATTTTGCAAAAGGGTAATTTTTCATCTTCCCTGATAGGTGCTGATCCTCCGTATAAATGTCCCTGTCACAGGAAAGCTGGTTAACGGCTTTCTTTTCCTGGACAGTGACAGTGCTGAGGAAAGGAAATGCCAATAATCAGCATTTGTTTACATGTGATCAGCTGTGAGCTGACCACAAGGTAAAGAGGCAATGTCATTGGCTCTTTACTCTGATCAATGATGCGCTGTGTCTGAGGGACACAGCTCAGCACTGACTGCTGCGCTGCACGCCACGAATGAGCGGACATCATATGACGTCCTCCCAGAATGAGAGTGGTCCAGCCTGGCTGTCATTGTACAATAGGCTGTGTGGGAACCAGTTAAATGACACGATGTGTATGGACACATTGACTAATACTGAGCTGGGTTAAGAGGCATAAGAAGAATAAGATCATGCTTCTAAGGTCCATACAGTCTGGGCTTAATAGAAGTTGCTCCTGGAGGAGTTTAGCGTTTTGCCTGTAGAAGTGACTGTTCTCCTTTGTGCATGCACATTAGGCAGGCTGGAGCGTTCTTTATAGGGATTCACTGAAATTCCGGCAGCCGAAAATAGCCTTGTTGACATTTTGCTGATAGGATAAAGTGAGCTGATACAGGTGCCTATCACTGCGGCCCTCGGGCATTCGCCACATCCTACCCTCTCCTGATTGGGTGAATCTATGGCATCCTGGAAGCTAGGAGGAACTCTGAGTCCATATAGCAAAACACAGGGAATGCTTTTCCTGTGTGCTTCTAATTTGGTTCTGGGTACGTGTTTCCTTTCGCAAATCCTGTGTGACAGGGATGGGGAAGAAGAAAGCAGCATGAGGTTTAGGAAGAGCCCTGATCCTAGACCAAACTCAGAGCCAGAAGGGCAGCAGGTGAAAGATTTCAGGGTGAGTGTGCCTATGTGACACGTGTGCCTGGCTGGGGAAGGGGGCTGATAGAACGTTACACCCCTTTATATCTCAGCTGCCTCATCCTCTATGGCAGAGGTCTCTAAACTGAGATCCAGGCTAGATGTGGTCCTTTCCTTGCCTTTATCTGGCCCTTAGGCACAATTTTCCCACTGACACCAACTATGGGGCACTATTTCTCCCACTGACACCAACTATGGGGCACTATTTCTCCCACTGACACCAACTATGGGGCACTATTTCTCCCACTGACACCAACTATGGGGCACTATTTCTCCCACTGACACCAACTATGGGGCACTATTTCTCCCACTGACACCAACTATGGGGCACTATTTCTCCCACTGACACCAACTATGGGGCACTATTTCTCTCCCACTGACACCAACTATGGGGCACTATTTCTCCCACTGACACCAACTATGGGGCACTATTTCTCCCACTGACACCAACTATGGGGCACTATTTCTCCCACTGACACCAACTATGGGGCACTATTTCTCCCACTGACACCAACTATGGGGCACTATTTCTCCCACTGACACCAACTATGGGGCACTATTTCTCCCACTGACACCAACTATGGGGCACTATTTCTCCCACTGACCCCAACTATGGGGCACTATTTCTCCCACTGACCCAACTATGGGGCACTATTTTTCTCCCACTGACACCAACTATGGGGCACACCCCACTGACACCAACTATGGGGCACTATTTCTCCCACTGACACCAACTATGGGGCACTATTTCTCCCACTGACACCAACTATGGGGCACTATTTCTCCCACTGACACCAACTATGGGGCACTATTTCTCCCACTGACACCAACTATGGGGCACTATTTCTCCCACTGACACCAACTATGGGGCACTATTCCTCCACTGACACAAACTATGGGGCACTATTCCTCCACTGACACCAATGATGGAGCACTATTCCTTTCACTGACACCAAGGCTGACACATTCCACCTACTCATACCAATGATGAGGCACTATTCCTCCACTGACACCAGTGCTGGGGTACTATTCTTTCCACTGACACCAGTGCTGGGGCACTATTCTTTCCACTGACACCAGTGCTGGGGCACTATTCTTTCCACTGACACCAGTGCTGGGGCACTATTCTTTCCACTGACACCAGTGCTGGGGCACTATTCTTTCCACTGACACCAGTGCTGGGGCACTATTCTTTCCACTGACACCAGTGCTGGGGCACTATTCTTTCCACTGACACCAGTGCTGGGGCACTATTCTTTCCACTGACACCAGTGCTGGGGCACTATTCTTTCCACTGACACCAGTGCTGGGGCACTATTCTTTCCACTGACACCAGTGCTGGGGCACTATTCTTTCCACTGACACCAGTGCTGGGGCACTATTCTTTCCACTGACACCAGTGCTGGGGCACTATTCTTTCCACTGACACCAGTGCTGGGGCACCATTCCTTCCACTGACACCAGTGCTGGGGCACCATTCCTTCCACTGACACCAATGCTGGGGCACCATTCCTTCCACTGACACCAATGCTGGGGCACCATTCCTTCCACTGACACCAATGCTGGGGCACCATTCCTTCCACTGACACCAATGCTGGGGCACCATTCCTTCCACTGACACCAATGCTGGGGCACCATTCCTTCCACTGACACCAATGCTGGGGCACCATTCCTTCCACTGACACCAATGCTGGGGCACCATTCCTTCCACTGACACCAATGCTGGGGCACCATTCCTTCCACTGACACCAATGCTGGGGCACCATTCCTTCCACTGACACCAATGCTGGGGCACCATTCCTTCCACTGACACCAATGCTGGGGCACCATTCCTTCCACTGACACCAATGCTGGGGCACCATTCCTTCCACTGACACCAATGCTGGGGCACCATTCCTTCCACTGACACCAATGCTGGGGCACCATTCCTTCCACTGACACCAATGCTGGGGCACCATTTCTTCCACTGACACCAACGATGGGGCACTTTATGGTGTTCTCACCCTCTAATTTGTGTCTGATGGGGACTGATGCATCATACATCCCTTTATATCTATACTGCAACACTGTACACAAATTACATTTATGTCATTTGTTTGCCACAAATAGAGCTTTCTTTGGTGGCATGTGATCATCGCTGGGTTTTTATTTGTTTCTCTATGAAAGAGACCGCAAAAATTCTGCTGCATATATACATTTTTAAAAACTGTCCATTTCAGTTTTGGTTTTTTTTTTCAGCCAAGTGCATTGTGAATTTTTGGTTTCAGCACGAGAATTTTAATTTTGGTGCACCAGTAGTTTTTTTAAGCTCAGCACTTAGAGACACAAAAAAAACCTTCTGTTTTGCATTTTTTAGAACGTTTTCTGGAAAAAGAAAAACACTCAAATGTTCCTAAATCTAGTACAAAAAAATACTCATTAGCTTTTTTTTTTTGTTTGTGTGTGAGCATGGAGCCTAAAAGTGGCATTGTTTTCTGGCCATGTGCCTGTAGTTTTATGGAGATTTGTACAATCTCCCAGCAGCCTCTTGGAATGCTTCACCACCTATGATCAGGAGGACCTTGCTGTCTTACTTCTTCTGTATAGTGATGAGCTCAGGCAGGTTCAGACATGAGTCCAAACCCTCCTGAGTTATCCTGCCGGAAAGTTGTCAATGTTGACAGCCAATCATAGGTATTCCCTTCCCTGCAGCTGCTCTTAATAGCACTGTGATGGACTCCAGACACATCAACTGGGTATCTCTGCCAAGAAGCTGCTTCCCAAGCTCTGGAACCCGAGGCAGATAACTATAGCTACCCCAAAGAACTAGACAACACCAGTAAACAAGAACTGCTTTATTAGAGAAACACACTGAACTTTTACAGAAAACCATCAGGTAAGAGCTAAGCATCCCTCGCATACGTGGGGCTGCATGGTGAGGGATGCCAGAAATCCCCTGAAGGGGCACCCCATGGGAGGTGGAGAACCTGCCCATAAGGCCACATACCCCCTTCCCCAAAGCTTTCAAAGCAAGCATAGGGAACTACACCCTACTAATCCTGCAAGCAACAAGCTATGTCATACTAAAAACACTGTGAGTTACATTAAAGTGAATCTCTCTGGTACCACATACTATGACCTAATTGAGACAGGAGCTAGTTAACCTACCAGCATGTCTGTGGAGTGTGGAAGTAATTCTGAATACTTGGTAGAAACCCATGCAAGCACAAAGAGAACATGCAAACTCCATGCAGGTAGTATCAAAGTTGGGATTTGAACAGACTGCCCTGGTGCTGCGATGCAGAAGTGCTAACGGCTAGGCCTCTGTGCTGCGCATATATTCATACCACGTACAGAGTGTGCTAGCCCGTAACAACCAGAATTTGTTGGCGTTACATTTTATTGGCATTTAGAGCAACTATCCCCCTCTTAAATGTAGTTTGTATTGCAACATGCAAGAACTGAACATTATATATTTTAAAAAAGCATCTCCATCTCAACCTTTTTCATTTTCTTTATTTTATTCCTATTTTAGTGTTCAAGAGGGACTTGCTTCTGAATTGTCCAACTTAACAAAGGCTCTCTATGACTTCCATAAATCGGAGGCTGTTCTTGGTGTTGGAAGCCCTCTTAATAAACTTATTACTGAGAATTTTGATGAGGAGCAAATTTGGCAGCAGATTGAACTTCAGAACAGTGCTGTTCTTGACCACTTCAAGAAGGCAATCAGTGAGACTGTGAAGGACAAGGACTTATATATTTTTCAGGTTTCTGAAGAGGAGGAGGAAGAGGTATCTGAAAATCCTAATGAGGAAGAAGACCAAGATGGAGGATCTGAAGAAGAGCCTGAACCAATCTCTGACCATCATGACATTAAAGGAAGTAATCGTAGATTATCTGATAGTAAAAATACTAAAAAGACATCGGTGGTGGAAAGATTCAGCGATGATGATTCGGATATGGACTTTGATATTGATAAACTGGAACAACAAAGCAAGAAAAAAATCAGTAAAAAACCTCTGAAACAGCCAGCTGAAAAGTCCATTGTGGATGACCAGTTCTTCAAGCTGTCAGAAATGGAGGCTTTTTTGGAGGCAGCTGAGAAGGAAGATGGTAGGGATGATGATGATGATGATGAGGAGGAGGAAATGGATTATTTTGAAGATATTGGATCTGATTTTGATGATGATGATGAAGATGAAGAGTTCCAAATGGGAAACACAAAAAAACTGGTAAAATGTGTTCATTGCTGCCTTTTTTTTTTTTTTTTTTTTTTTTTTACAGGCATGATGGGATAGTTAAATACATATTTGCTGAGAGGTCAGATCTTTAAAATGTTGGCAGTCAACTCATCCCCCCCCCCCACCTTCCTACTTACCTTTAGTGCTCTTCAAAGCAAATACTTAGCTGCACAGTGAATCTAGCATTGTCCTGCTGCGATCTGCTGGTTGGATGCCATACAGTGGGTCATATTCAGTTGGCTGGCTCTTTTGGGTGCAGGCAGCCAGCACCAATGACATTTCATAACCACCTTCCAGCCCACTCTATGGATTGCCTCCCTGGCCTCTGTGGTATTGGGGACAGGGTTAAAAAAAATAGAAGAAAAAAAAAAAAAATCTTGATATTCTGCTTGGGGAGGGGGGAGTGTGATAAAGTGGAGCTAATTTCCTTTTGGAAAATCTGCCTTTACCGTGGCTTATCCTATTATTTCACTGCAAGTTTATCAGACCAGATGTGACTGATCAAAAGTAATACTCTACAGTCTCCGATAACATGAAATATAAATGTTCCTGGCGGACAGAGAAAATGTGATCTAGGTTGCCTAGATGGTAGGCATTTGCAGGAGCTAGGGGGAGCAGCAGTTTTTTTATAAATGGAAAGGAAACAAATGCTCTGAGTTGGTAAAGGTGGCATATGCCCATTGATTTGTGTACAGTGGAAATAATCATGGTAGGTCCAGTTTAAGTGGCAAGAAAAAGCAGAGCAACGATCTTTGCAAATTTTGCAGGACTGTGTGTCGTATATATTCATGGAAATCTGTGGCAGAGGGTCTTGCAGGGATTACTTGAACTGTCTGTCCAGCCCCCACAAAATATAGAGGCAAAGGTACAGAAATACTGCAGAAACAGTTTCATATCCCAACCTGTTACACTCCATAGTTTAAGCTGAGTGTTTGTTTTTATTTATTTCAGATACTTGTATAGCACTGTCAGTTTTACGCAGCGCGTTACATATATATTGTACATTCACATCAGTCCCTAACCCTCGAGGGGTGTACAATCTACGGTCCCTAACTCACATTCATACATACACATACTAGGGCCAGTTTAGACAAGATCCAGTTAACCCACCAGCATGTTTTTGGAGTGTGGGAGGAAACCGGAGTACCCGGAGGAAACCCTCGCAGGCACAGGGAGAATATGCAAACTCCAAGCAGGTGGTGCCGTGGTTGGGATTCGAACCAACGACCCTAGTACTGCCAGACGTAAGTGCTAACCATTTAGCCACTGTGCTGTTAATACAGAAAAGTAAAAATGTATCCAAATTAAGAATGATGACCAGTTTTTTTTCCCCTACTCTTCTCTACTGGTTGGTCAGTGAAAAAGAAAAAAATCTTCACAGCAACGTAAGCATCTGACCTGTTCATTGGGATTTTGAGTGTTCGCTTGGTATTAATTGGTATCATTGTTTGTTATCCTCATTTTATTTAGGGCTCTTGCATATGGTTGAATAGGGCTGTACACTGCCCAGATGAGTGTATATTTGCAGGTGTTTCCAGCCATGGACAGGAACCCTGTACAAATCCTTGATGGGCTGAAATTATCTGCAGTTGTCTGCATGTAATCACCCATGGAGTGATTACCTGTGGTTAGAAAGGAATGTGTCTGTCTGCATCCAGGAGCACACATCTATTCCTAACTGGAGGAATTCTATGCTCCTACTATACACTTTCATTTTATAACATCAGCATTTCTAACCATAGTTATTTTTTCACAATCCAAGCTTTCTTGAGTGCTGCCTGTATGCTAGCAATCTCTTTCCATAACTGTCTGGAATCCCATTATGCTTTGCAGATATCCCATGGTACTGTACTACCTTCAAGTGGTAATTCCTGTACTGATTCCACCTCCTGAAACCCCTCCTCTCAGCACCTCTGTAGTACAGAAGGCAGGCTCCGTGAAATGTGTGACACAACAGTGCCTACTCATGGGGTATACTGAATAAGTGTCACAGAATTCAAGGAGGTAAATGTGTGGGGATCTTCCAAGTGTACAAACGTCAAGATTATTCAGAGTAATAGGGGTAAGCTATAAATAATAGAAATATAGTGTGGAAATGAATACTTATTTACATGCAATTGCACATGGAGCGATTACCCCCAAGCTTCTCTATGGTCAAAATGTAAACCGCTGAAGACCATAACAGCCTGATGTTGATTTTTACAGGCCTCCTATCTGCAGCTAATTATAAACCCCTGGCTGTATCTGCTGCAGAAATGTTCTCATCCAGGCAGTGCATGGTCCTATTCAGCTGTGTGCATGAGCCCTTACAGTGACTACTGCAGATATAAACAGTAATAAAAACATATTGTTTGCTTTTTAGTTAACGAAAAGTGCCAGGGACCTTCAGTATCAAGATTATTTTGACCCAGTAGATGGGGATGAGAATGAGACAGACCGACATCTTGGTGAAGAAGAAGAAATTGAAAAGTCAGATGAAGAAGAGGAAGAAGGGGGAGAACATGATGAGGAGGAGGACAAAGAAGAACTGTAAGAGGTTTTTTTCGTATTTGCACTGTTCTTCTGTATAATGGTTAGACCACATAGTTCTCTAGCTAATATTAACGGAGAAGTATGGCCTATAGCTCTTTTGGCTATACTCCTTTTTATGGATCACAGGAGTTGGCCCGCTGTCAGCTGATGTCACTCAGCCGGTCCAGGATCCACTGGCAACTGGCTTAGCTTCTCAGCAAACCTTTCAGAGCTTTAGATGGACTCACCCGCCCCCTTCACAGCCCAGATCTCCAGTCAGCGCTGGAGGGGCAGAACAGAGAACCAGTGGTTTGATAGTCACCGGCTCTCTACTCACTAAAGACTGAGAACCTAGCGATCTGCAGTCTTTAATTGCTCAGTTCTCAGTCTTAGAAGTGGCAGGAGACAGATGCAGCTGGGATTGATGCTTCATCCACTTAGGTGAGTATAACCTTTTTTATTTATTTATTGTTAAACCCATACTTCTCTTTTAATGATGAACTCTGGGCTAATATATACTTTTATTAAAGCAAAATTAAAGTTTGGCTGTCCCAAACTGCAAGCAGACAGGCTCTTTATTGCAGAAGGAACATGCAATGTCTATTCTCCAGTAAAATACACCTACCTGCCTGCTTGCTGTCTTCTCCAGGTTGTAAATTAGCTGCGCATGTGCAGCTCAGCTTACATCTCCAGCACAGTCCTTGTGTGCCAGGATGACTGACTCCTGCGCATGCACAGCAGTGATGTGAGTATGGGCCAGCCAATGTAGGTACTGGCCTCTTGCAATAATCTATACAGAAGTGCTAAGTCTAAGTGCTAAGTCTGGAAGAGGGTGTAATACGACTGGGAGCCAGTCTCCTGTGCTGCAAGAAAATGTACTGACAATAAACACGTTTTGAGAGGACAAAGCAAAGTGAGTAGATAATGACCACATGAATCTATAGATTTTATATTTTACTGTCCAATCAGAAAGCTAGTAGCCAAAGCTTTTTTTTTTTTTTTTTTTTTTCTTTTTTTTTTCTTGTACCTATAGGGGAGCTTTTCCTTCATTTTCTTGGGACACAACCAGAAAGAATGTTAAATTCTCTCTTGACAGCTTCACTGGAACACATGCCCAATGGAAGTTTTCCTTCTATTTATGTTCCAGTGACAACTCAACATTTTTGATTTTATCTCACTTTCAGCCCCACTGACCGCAGTCTGAAGGACTAAAAAGGTGAATCTCCCTATCTGTCTGAGGTTATTTGCTTTTTCTGCAAAGACCAATTATTAAATCTTTCAGGAGTGAATTGGATGAGGACGACGAAGAGGAGGATATGATGGAGGAAACGGAAGAAAGTAAAAGGGCAAAGCAGGCCTTCAAGAGGGTGACCTTTGACCTTTCAGATGGTAGTGATGGAGAAGATGTTGGTGACATACTTGGTGGCAAGAAGAATCAAGAAAAACCTCTGGAATCAAAGTCCTCATTTGAGAAGAGGGAAGAGAAGGTCAGTGGTAGAAACTCTGAATAAAAACTAATCTCAATGAGTTATTTTCTGTAGGTCTGTTTAATATATATATAAATATAACCTCGCATTTGCAAGTGGAAATAACATGGGGGGCCACTGTGTCCCAGGCAGTAGTGGCAGATCTCTGTTGTGTCGGCACAGCGCCCCCCTCACGAACTGGTGGATCAAGGTACTGCACAGCTTTTACCTGTGCGCACATGGAGGAGGGGGGAGTTCATTGTGGGGTGCACAGAGCGGCCCAAGTTTCTCCCAGATCTTTTCTTGTTGAGTTCCTGCCTGACACTGATCTGCCTCCACCCCCGCTCAGAAGGGGGGGTTTGCCCCCCTCCCCTGCAGCTTTTCCTTGGGGTTTGTTCTTTCTTGTACAGCAGTGGTAGTAGCAGTGGCTCCTCCACCTGGCCAGATCCCCAGAGATGCAGCTGGGATCAAGAGAACAGTGAGGCTGGCAGAAGAGTGACTGCTGCTTCTGGGAATTCTGTACCCTGGTGTGTACTCTGTACCATGCTGTGCACCCTGTACTCTTCTATGGGCTGTACTATACTTTGTACCCTGCTGTGTTCCCTGTACCATTATCAGTGAGGCCATGAGTGGTCTGTCTGTGTGCGGAGGGGGGCGGTAACTAGGAGGTGGGATCTGTCAGTTGGGGACTAGAGGAGGACATGGGATGGATGAGATGGTACTGGAGGAGGACATGGGATGGGGGAGATGGAACTGATGATTGGAGGAGGACATGGGATGGAGCAGATGAGACTGGAAGAGGAGGACATGGGATGGGGGAGATGACACTGAAAGAGGGGGAGATGGGACTGGAGGAGGAAGAGGACACAGGATGGAGGAGATATTTATATTGCTTTATGTTAATATTGTTAAAGCAATAATATTTGTTTGTTGTTAAAACATTAACAGTGTCATTTCATGAGATAATTTATGAGGACGTGTTTAAGGGGTGGGGCAGGGTAGGGTTTGGGTGGAGCAACTGGTGGCGAGTAACCCTTAAGGCCTGGCTAGTAGCTCAGGACTTTAAATTTTGAGCCCTGACATACAGTACAGTAGTAATGATTGTATACCTCCTTGATAAGTGCTGACTTACCTTATCTACAAGAATCGTGTAATTATTGAATCCTGATTGTTTGACTTCATGAACTGCAAAGTATTCTGCAGATTGGACAAATCTACATGCACAAATTATGTTAAACTGTTTTTCTGAAAAGATCATATTTGCGAATTAATTTGCTCATCATTACTTACACATATATAAGGTTTTATCTAAGTAGCCTTGTTAAACACAATCTGGAAATGAACTCACTATTCCAACATTCCTTCACTCGACAGATTCATGTACCTGTTGTAGACGGGTACATGAATTCGGGGGAACGTTCCAACTATGGTGGCGCAATGAAACTGGGGTGTCTGTATGCTCCCCAGTGCAGTGATGGGCAGTTTTGTTCCTGGGGGAGTAGTGCCTGATGGGGATTCGCAGACACTAGTCCCCCATCAGGCCTACCCCCTTGTTATAGGCAGCGGCAGATCCTTGGCTAAAAAGCAGCCTGTATTGGCTGTCAAATCTGCCCATTGTCATTACACACTTCCGCATCACGAGTTACTAGGATGTTGTTGTGAAGCCGACAACATCCTTAACCAGTGACAGAGAGTGGGTACCAGCGGCAAATATGCCACACTACATGAAGGGATACTCTGCCTGTCTCTGTATGACAAGTTAGAGTAGGGATTCATTGCCTCCGGTTTAGTTTTCTACGATTATTTGAAATTGGTACGTTAATAGCTCCTCTTTGTAAAAGTGGTGCCATTAAACACTACCTGAATTTGCTGCACTTGTCGGTAAAGTTACTGAAACTGGTGGTAGCGATTCTTTAATCTGGCACAGATCTCATATAGAGAAATGCCAAATTGGTGTAACTTTTTCATAGCTCTTCTTAGGGCTCCAGAGCAACTTGTGCAGTCATGGACCACAGTTAGTGTCTGATTAGCTGTGGAATGAATGGAGCTATGATAACACTGCAAACTGAACTTCAAAGCTCTTGATTCCTATTGTAGCTTACTAACAGCACCAGAACAACTATGCAGCTAATATGGTCCAGAGGGAAAGCTGTGAGCAGCACTAGTTTAACATGGTGTTCTGCAGCAGATACGGATCAATGCCTGTGTTGGTAAACTGATAATCCATTTGCATAAGAAGCATAAATGGGTTTGGAAGGATAATTGAATACATATATGTGAAAGAATGCCTATCACACACCACTCCTTTGTAAACAAGAACACTCTGGGGGTGTACTTTTTTGCGTGTTGCATTATCCATTACAACCAATGGAAATCTATCAAAACGCATGTCATTGTAAGTTACTGCATATTGAGCACAATCGAAAGTATATTTCAACCCGCATTACGTGGCCTTTCTCATCAACACACTTTGACATGAACTTTGATGTGTTTTTCATGGATTTCAATGGAATACACATTAGTCAAAAAGACTCCAAAATGCAAAGGTGTGAATGGGCCGTTAGCGGGTTGTAAAAATAGCTTTGGTTTTCTGTTTCTGTGATTTTAGATTTAAATGCATTTCTTACAAGACATACGTGTTAAAACACCTTGTACGTCTATTGATCTAATCCAATAAACCGCATTTAATCCAAGATGTAAAATAAAAATTAGCTGGTTACCAACATGTACAAATGTAATGGCCTTTTCTCTTGTGTTTAAACTTTTCGATTCACAGATGAGTGAGAAGATTCAGACACTCCAGAAACAAATGCTTGGAGAGAAATCCTGGCAGCTGAGCGGAGAGATAACTGCACAGAAGAGGCCTGAGAACAGTTTGTTGCCCGAGTCCTTGCTCTATGACCATGCCACCAGAATGGGTAGATTTTTGTTTCTTGCAGTTAATATATATGTATAGTGTGTTTATGTGTAAAATAAAAAAAAAAGTATATATATATTTTATTATAATTATGTTTGGCATCCCTGATATCTGTATTGACATCAAAAATATTAATTTTTTGGCAAACCTTGGGTCCTGACATTTGTGTGGATTTTCTTTGACACATACCACCTACTTAAACATTGTTGCGCACAAGCACACCACTTCATTGAAATGGTATTACCTGATGGATAATACCTGATGGTATTACCTGAAGGATAATGCACCCTGCCACACTGCAAAAATGATTCAAGACTGGTTTGAGCAATGCAAAAAAAAGTTTGAAGTGTTGACTTGGCCTCCAAATTCTCCAGAAATAAATTTAATCGAGCATCTGTGGATGTGCTGGAAAAACAAGTCTGATCTACGGAGGCCCCACCTCGCAAGTTGCAGAACTTAAAAGATCTGTTACTGATGGCTTGGTGCCAGATACCACAGCATACTTTCAAAGGTCTGGTAGTGTCTTTGCCTCGTTTGGTCAGGTCTGTTTTGGTGGCAAAAAAGGGGACATACTCAATATTAGGTGGAAAGTCATGGCTGATCAGTATAATGGGATTTTTGTAGTTGCTGTAACTATCGTTTTCTGGATAGCCTGGAGTCTGTGCCCTGTTATGTCAGAAGTTCCTACCACAGTCCCCCTTTACATCACAAGTACTCATCAAAGTCCTTCTTTACATCTGGTGTCCCTGTCAGAGTGCCCCCTTACATATGATCATTTACCCTGATCTGAGTGCTCCCTTACATCAGATGTTCCGATTACAGTACTCCTTACATGGATTGTCCCCTTCAGAGTTCCCCCTTACATAAAGCATCTGCATCAGACTCCCGGATCAGTGGATGCACTGAGACCTGGTGGAGTACAATTAAAATCTCATGGGGCACAGCCCACCCCAGCACCCCCTTAGATCCGGCCATGGATTTGACACCACCACCTTCAAGAGCTGGATACTAGATGCAACTAAAATCAAAATCACGCCAGGGGCAGCCCTCTGAGAGGGGTTTGACCACCCTCAATCTGCAAGATAGGATTCAATTAGTAGCCTGCAGTTTTAGAACAACACCACTGAGACAGCCAAGAGACTGGGCGGGTGCACTGAACTCCGAAAATAATTTTATGGTGAGTGCAAAAATCCCATTTTCTCTATCATATAGCATTGAAGGACACAGCGGTACTTCTTCTTGGATGGGACATCCCAAAACACTGCCAGAAAGAGTGGCGGGCCCATGAACATAAACAGAACAGGGAACCACACCCGGCAGAACTCAAACTGCCACCTGCAAAAACGTTCCAACCAAAGCTGGCATCTGCACAGGCAGCTACGTCAACTTGGTAAAAGTGTCATAAAGCAAACCTGAACAACAGAAGCAGAAAGATGAAACGCCCAAGACACACTAAGTACCCTTGTAAAATGCACAGTCACTGGGAATGAAGGATCTTCGACTGAAAAGTGTTGACCAAAGCTAAGGATTATGAAATATATTTCTCTGATATGATTTGGTAAATTAAAAGTTCTTACCCAGAAGTGAAAGGTTTAACACAACAACCAAAATTTATTGGTGAGTAGGATGCAGGTCTAAAAGAAACATTTTAAGAAAGCTCTAACATTACAAAATACAAACTGAGACAGAAAAGACCTAAGACAAACATTTTTCGATATAAGTGCAAGGGATATATTCCATAATTACCATGGAACTGTACGTTTTGGATTCCATTCTCTTAACTGGTGTTCCAAAGAGAACCTCTCTCTCCAACTCGTGTCTATTGTTATAGGCCACTCCTCCATTAGTTTTCATGGAGTAGCTCTGATTGGTTGGCAAATCTATTCCCTTTCATAATTGGCTAACTTCATATTCCCTGTATTTAGCATACACCATCCCCCTTTACGGCAAATCTTAGCACACCCTTTATGGAGTAGTTCATGACATTTTCCTGGGAAATTAATCATGAAAGGCTGGCCACCTTCATTTCATATCTAAATGAGGGATCCTTTTGAAGTGGATGTTTGTGAAGCCAACAGGTTTGGTCCCATTGTTAGAAAAACTAACTCTGGCACTGAACTGTCTGACAAAGTATTGAGGAGTGTGGAGACTTCTGTTACACAGTAAAGAAATTGTAATTAATAGAATATTCCCTCTGGCAACTTAAACCATCCCCAACTATCTGTAGAGCATGGACTTATGGGAAGACATATTACACACCCATAATGATACAGCTCTAACTGAAACATATTAATAATTACAATATTATTTACAGTGGTTATTGGAGATTTCACGTAAAATCTAACAAAAGGCATCGGCCTGGCTGACCGGATGACAAATCCATCTAGAAATGGAGGAAGATGAAGTATCTTGTCCCAGTCTAGAACCATTGGAACAATGAATAAAGAGTCCGATTTATGATCGGAGGATGTAGTAAACTCTAACAGCCCTCACCACCTCCAGGCAATAAAGAGCCACTTCCCTCAGGTGAGAGGGATATGAAGATAGGGAAGGCAAAAATTAAAATTCCACTCCCATGTTAAAAAGTTCGAGGCATGTCACAGGCTATTAGCATACTTGACTTTCCAAAATGGCATCTAAGCTTCGCACAGTATGTTGACACTGCCTGTCTGATGCATTACGCCTCCTTCGGCTTTCCAGGTGAATGCTGAAGATCGTGGTCTCTAATATAAAAGCGCAATTGACCTTCCTTTTGCAGTGGGGTCCATGATATAAGTGAGGAGATAACCATGAGGTGTGGCAAAGGGCACGGTTGTGTTTTTTCATGCTGCAAAAAGTCATGTTGTTCTGGCAAGAATTATATATCGATTGCGCGGAGATTGGTTGGTGTATGGGACTCACATTGGACTATGTTTTTGTTTTTTTATGTTTTAAGAGCTATACTGTATATATTTTTTGCACATTCACAGAAGGTTACTAAATACTGGAGGTATCTGCTTATGATAAAGGGTTATTGTATGAGGTTATTTGATTATATTGAAAGCTCTTCACGAGTATGAGTATCAGTGAGAGAGAGACGCCAATCAGACCCTTTCATGAACATTCACTGCAGGTGAGCCTTTCAGGTGCATGTATTTTAAATGACATTGATTTACTACCAGTGAATGTCTGTTGAAAGTCACATTTACTGCTAATTTAATAGATATTAGATATATACTCCCCTTCATCAGCCACCTTCAATGGATGGTTTCCTATATGAAGAAAACGGCTTTAAACCGTTTATAGGAAATGACAGGCGGGCAGTGGCTCTGTTGTTCAGGGAGGACATCCTGTGATGTCCTCCGACTCTAACTGCGCATGTGCGGCCCCGGGTGGTGATCGGTGGTGTGCTCTATCTCTGGGACTCAGTGTATCACCGTTCGCAGTAAACAGCCGATGACACAGGCTCCATCATGTGATCAGCTGTGCAATGTAAATCGGAAATGCAGGTTATTAGCTCTCCTTTCCTCATGCTGACAGCGCGTGAGGAGAGGAGAGCCGGTAAGCAGCATTTCTCAGAGGGGACATTTACACTGATCAGCAGTCCTCTGATATCAGTGCTGCCTGTCAGTGCCCATCAATGCCACATATCGGTGCCCATCAATCAGAGCTGCCTTTCAGAGCCAACTATCCATGCCAGTCAGTGACGCCTATCGGTACCGCCAATCAGTGCCATATGAGTGCTTTAGTATGATAGTGATGTAGCGCTATAAATAAACGAATACCTTTTATACACAATATATGGTAGTAATGCACAATTATATACAGATCTATTCAGGTGATATTTGTAGGTGATTAGTGCAATACAAATAGCTCCACAAATCTCAATAGCCTTTGGTCCACCTTCAGTAACTTGGTATATACCCTTGTAAACTCGTGAGGTTTTGGGATCATACAACAAAAACACAAAGATCCTCCATAGTGCAAAACTGTATACCAGGTTTAATGTGGACAAAATCGCCAAGTACAAACTCACATTTAGCAGGGTAGACAATTTGCACGCCCCTCGTAGCTTCATCAGGATAGCGTCATGCTGATTGTCTCTGGTATTTATAAGGGGATCCTACTCGTGATTGGTTAGTTATCATTGTCAATCATTGGGCCATTTTGTTGGAGTCCCGTTTATTTTGGAGACATTTCCACTGCCATTTTCTTATAGTTTTATTGTATCTTGAGAATGTGTGTAATATAAAAGACTGCTGTCATTTTCTTGCGGTTCTGGGTATACCGACTTCTACACTATGTTGTCCCTATACAATTCCAATCTCTGTATATTGTCCTGTCTCTATCCCCACTGCAAGTAGATGGTATTTTGATATGTTTCTAGAAATTATGCTTACATAATCCCTTAAAACACTTAAAAAATCACTAATGAAACAGTTAAGATTGAATTCAATGTTTAACCCCTTAGTTGCCTGCGTTTGCATAATATAAATCCATTTGGACATTTTGCTCAGTGTGCAGATTTTGTGGCTCCCTCGCCAGTGTTTTTTATATCGCTCGATACCCCCAAAATTGCAGTTCCGTTGGATCTTGGTTGTGACATATTGCGAAGTGTTTTGAAACACTATGCTTAGGGAATCCTTTGTTAATTTTTTGGATATTGTTCCCTTAATCACATCCATAAGGGTCTTTTGTTGCGTCCAATATACTAGAACCCACATTTGCACTGGAGGCCATACACCACACCCCTTCAGTCCTGCATGTTATAAATTCTTTAATTTTAAATTCTTCCCCATTGTTTTCTGATCGAAAGGTAGACCTTTTTATTCCTTCCTTTAGTTGCTTTGCACGCATAACATTTTGGAGAGAGAAGGGGAGAAGCCGCCTGCATTTAAAAACGTAGTTTTTATTATCTTTATTGGGTGGGTCCACTACATTTTTAACATTTATTATTAATCTGTAATGGGGCTATTTATGGGGTTTTTTGAAATATATTTAATAAAATTTTGTTTGCATTTTAAACATTACATTTGAAGATACATAATTATTTTTTCAACTCCGAATTAGCATATACAAAGCAGGTATTTTTTAAAAATGAGCACTGAACAATAATTCTAGAAAAAACATAACAAAATACCATCTACTTGCGGTGGGGATAGAGACAGGACAATAAACAGAGATTGGAATTGTATAGGGACAACATAGTGTAGAAGTTGGTATACCCAGAACCGCAAGAAAATGACAGCAGTCTTTTTTATATTACACACTTATTCTCAAGATACAATAAAACTATAAGAAAATGGCAGTGGAAATGTCTCCAAATAAACGGGACTCCAACAAAATGGCCGCAATGATTGACAATGATAACTAACCAATCACGAGTAGGATCCCCTTTTAAATACCAGAGACAATCAGCATGACGCTATCCTGATGAAGCTACAAGGGGCGTGCGAATTGTCTTCCCTGCTAAATGTGAGTTTGTACTTGGTGATTTTATCCACATTAAACCTGGTATACAGTTTTGCACTATGGAGGATCTTTGTGTTTTTGTTGTATGATCCCAAAACCTCACGAGTTTACAAGGGTATATACCAAGTTACTGAAGGTGGACCAAAGGCTATTGAGATTTGTGGAGCTATTTGTACCCTGGAGAGGAGCATGCAGGATCCTGAGTGATCCATAAGGCGTTGTGGCCCCTGTGGGTCGCAGGGGGAAGGTGAGCGGGCATGCCTGCCATTTAGGATGATTTCTCACCACCTACACCAACACAGGAGCATGTTTTTGAAGAATTGTGGGTGCTATCTCATATGTGAAATCACTGGTTGCTGTGGACATTTGCAATTATACCACCTATATATGGTGACATATATCCCTGTATAGGGAATCACTGTGTGCCACTTATTATTTTGGAATTATCACTTGAATATTTTGTTTTGATATATATTGCACTAATCACCTACAAATATCACCTGAATAGATCTGTATATAATTGTGCATTACTACCATATATTGTGTATAAAAGGTATTCGTTTATTTATAGCGCTACATAACTATCAAACTAATTTATCTATTCATCCAGCCTAAGGGGAGGATTGGATGTTAGCAGCTGTCCTTTATCCATAGTAGGCATAGCAGCACAGGAGGATATACAAAAATATCATATAGGAGTGCTGCCTTTCAGTGCCACCTATCAATCATGCCTGTCAGTACCCTTCAGTGCCCATCACTACAACCTCATTAGCGCATATCCGTGAAAAAGGACTTATTTACAAAATTTTATAACAGAAGCTAAAACCTTTTTTTGTTTCCAAAATTTTCAGTCTTCTTTTAGTAAAGCAAAAAATATAAAACCCCAGTGGTGCTTAAATACAACCAAAAGAAAGCTCTATCTGTCTCAAAAAAAATGATGATAATGTGGTTTGGGTACAGTGTTGCATGACCGTGCAATTGCCATTCAAAGTGCGACAGCACTGATAGCTGAGAATTGGTCTGGGCAGGAAGGGGGGTAAAAGTGCCCAGTAGGCAAGTGGTTAAATGACTTTTTGGATCTTGTATGCATTCCATGATAAAGGCTGATATGAAGTATGTAGAACCATCAGTAATATTTAGATAAGTGTTTCAATGTAACGTCTTCCTCTCACATTAGACATGGCTTCTTGGCTGAAAATTTTGTGTCACTTGTAATGTTGGTTACAGGTACCTGTCAGTTGCTTACTTAATGTTTTCTTCATACTTTATAACAGCGCCCACAATCACAGAGGAAACCACACTACAACTGGAGGATATTATCAAACAGAGGATAAAAGATCAGGTCAGTGCTTTTTCTTTTTTTCTCTCTCTCCTGTTTAGCTGTACTTCATGAATTAGTCTTAATTTTTTTTTTTTTTGGTATTTCATTTGTTCTCACGGATAAATATGATTTGTTTTTTACCATGCATCGCCATAGCCCCCCCAAGAAATAAAAAAAAAAAAAGCAGAACTTTTAATTCAAATAAAAAAAAAAAAAAAAAGAAAAATGTTTAACAGTATTTACTGGTGTGCTCTTCTGAGCATTTTCAGTTAAAATTTACAGGCATACGTCATCCTTTAACCCTTTCACTGTCGGGGCCGTACCTGACAACTGGAGGTTTTACACATGTTCCTGCTGTGTGTACTGTATATCTGATAAGCTGTTAGATATTAAGTTATTCGGCAGCTGTCCAGTTGCTTTCAAACTACCCCAGTAACGGCCATAAAAAAAAATGTAAAAAAAAATAAGAAAAAAAATTATCCCCCCCCCCTTACATTTTTTGAGCCCCCCTTCCCCTACATATATTCACACGTATAAAGGTAAAGGCATGCAGTGGGGCACCAACACTTTTTTTTTTTTTTTTTTTTTTCAATGAATGCAAAGAATTCTCTGATTTTGGACAAAATAGAAGTTATTTCTCCACCTTTTCATCTTTTCCAATCGGAGAATGCTTTTAAATATGTTTTCCTAAGAGTTTACATGTTTTAAGTGTTAAGTAAGACAGTGTTGAGTTTGACTTGGATAAAGATTAGATCATATACACTATTCCAGTCAACTATTTTGTGCCGTGTTTTAGGATTGCAGATTTCCTTACAACCAGCAGAGGGAGGAAAGTTCTCAATATACGCTGTAGTAGGACATTTGTCTCATAGCATGGTTACTCTCTACTTCTACATTTTCACTTTGGGACATAAACAAGGTTGGGAATCTAGTAGTTTTATTGAATTGATGGTGCATTCCGCTTTATTATAATGTTAACCTAGATTTTCCATTCTCTTAAGACTTTTAAACTGGTCTCATTTGCATGATAAGTGTCTTAGTCAGGCTATTTATTCTCTGTATTTTCCAAGGTGTGGGATGATGTGGTCCGCAAGGAAAAGCCAAAGGAAGATGCCTTTGAGTATAAGAAGCGGCTTACTCTGGACCATGATAAGAGCAAACTGAGTCTAGCAGAGGTTTATGAACAGGAGTACTTGAAACTTAACCAAAAAAAAGTGGAAGAGGAAGAAGATCAAAAGCATGTAGAAATACGGAAATCAATGGACAGCCTGTTCCTGAAGCTAGATGCTTTGTCAAATTTCCATTTCACACCAAAACCAGTAATTATTTTTTTTTATCTTGTTGCTGAACTGAATTTGATTATAAACGTAGTGCAACTTCGGAGGAGCCGCTGGTAATATGCCCGGGTTCCTTTTCCCAGTAGTTGCCCAGCAGCCAGGCACACATGCACTTTCACTCTCTTGGCTAAAGAACCAGTCTAGGGTTGTTGGTTTTGATGTTTTAATAAAGGGTTGAACTTGGATGGGAATTGGGAAAAGTAGGATTCTCCAATAACTTGCTATAACGAACTTGATGACCCTAAACGTGCTTCTTGAAACTTTGAACATTGTCCAGTAACAGCATTGAGGAGGTTGAGCATTCATTGGTGAACAGTCCAAGCAACTGCCCTTTCACAAGCAATGCAATGACTATGCTCTTCAAAACAATACTCCTTAGCAAACACGGCTGACCACCTAGCACACAGGAGGGGTGATGACACTTAGACTCTAGGATCTCTTCTGTACTCACATAATGCCTTTGGATAAATGGTGGCCTCCTACCAGTATCCTGCAAGCAGCTTCTCTCAGTGGTACTAGACTAGAATCTCATACAAAAGCCCCTCGGCCAGCCTTCATCACCAGACAGTGGATCCTAGCTGGGGCCTCCACTCGACAAGCACATGGCAGAATTCCCAGGAAGGGCAAACAAACCCTATAGGTAATGTTCTCACCCTCCGGAATAAGACGCTGATCTCTGCTCCAGAGTATTTATGCGTTCTCCCAGAATCCTCTGGGCCAGACCTCCCAGGGATTTGCTGGGGCTACATAAATGTTAAGCTGCTTATTGAAATCCTCCCTGACTCTATTATTCAGAGCTCCTCCAGGAGAACAGGAAGAAGCAAACAATCATGCAGCTTCTGGAGCACACACCAGACCAAAAGAATGAACCCAGCTCCATGATTACAGTGGGCTAAAACTAAATTTACACTAATACTTCGCTATAAACCACAAACAGAATTCTGACCTCATTGGGTACAGTAAGCTAAACTAAATTTGCCCAACAGAACATATAACCCCATTGACTAAAATGTGCCTGAACTATAAATTTACCTAGCCTAGCACCTGACTAGGAGGGTGCTACATAAAATAATACATATGCTGAAGAGATTGGGATGTGATTAGTTGCTATGTCACAGCAGATTACTTGCCAGCACATTCATAAATTGCTGGCTTCTGAAGTAGTGAAGAAGCGTGCATCTTTAAAAACAAATCAACAATAGTTCAAGTATTTCTTGCATCCTAGTTTCTCTTTAAATATAATCGCTATTATAACCCCAATCGTTTCTCTTGTATGATTTTGTTGAATATTGAAAAGAATATGGAAAGAACTTTATATATTTTTTATTTATTTTTTTTTAACTTTGCGGTTTCCTAGTTGTGTTAGCCCATGTTCCCTGGGGAGGCCAGAAACTGGGGGAACTTATATGCATATCTTGATTTTAGCTCTGAACCCTTAGCTTTGGATTATTGAAACCTCTGAATTTTCAGACAGATATCTAAGCAGTCACATAATCTATCGCCACCCTCACTGCTGCAGAATAGCTGGTCAAGCTGACTCGATAGAGCTAGGAATCCGAGCCATTCTGTGTGGATAAATTTGCTATGGAATTTTTTTTTCTTAGGTCAACTGTTGTTCAGATGTCATTCACAGCTGTTGTATACAAAACTGGGTGTAAAATGTGGTGGGTTTTTTTTTTTTGTTTTTTTTTTTAAATCCCTTTATATCATAAAGAAAAGCTTGTCGCTTTAGTCTTCCTGTGATCTAATGCAAAGCAAATTATATGCTACACATACACTAAGAAGGCACTGTGGAATTGCATTATCTTCCTGATGTATGAAATTCTGCAGCCTGCATCTGATGACATCAATTCTTTCATGGTCGCATATAAACATGAGCAATGTATGTGTTAGTCTATGTAGTGTCTATTCAACAGTGGCCAAGCTTGGAAAAACAAATCAGTCTGGTTAATTAAGCAATGAATTTACTGGCTGCTTGGAAAACTAAGAAAATATGATTTTCAGTAACCAATGCTTTTGTCATGCAGTCTATTCCAGAAATTAAGGTGGTATCAAATCTCCCTGCAATCAGTATGGAAGAGGTGGCAGCAGTGGGAGTGAGTGAAGCAGCTCTCCTGGCTCCAGAAGAAGTCCGAGTAAGTAGAAGACATGTACTAGATATATATTCTTTCATACACATGGCTACTAAACAATACAAGTCGTAACATACATAAGCTGAGCTAATGTATGACTTTGGCTTGCAGAGTGCTCAGTCTGATTGGTTCATATTTTCTAGGAGAAGAACAAAGCTGGAGACATAAAAACAAATGCTGAAAAAACAGCCACAGACAAGAAGCGTGACAGACGGAAAAAGAAGACCGTGAAAAAGTTTAAAATAAAGGAAAAAGAGAAACGTCAGAAGCTGGCAGAGAAACAGAGAGAGGAGAAGGGGAAGCAGCCAACAAAACAAGCGGCAGAAGCCAACATCAAGAAACTTGCCAAGGAAGGAAAGGCCACTGTGCTGAAGGTAATTGTCTCTATCCACCAGTTATTGGCAATTTCATTGCCATCTACCCCTAAATGGGCATTCCAGCTCATACCAGGTATTCAGACAATAAGATATTGTAACTATTATTCATCACTTCAGGTCACCCTATTGATTGAAAGTGGCCCTTTGTTGGTGCTGCTTCAGATGGCCTATTTTGTGTGACAGCATGATGTATGATTAATATTGTGTTCCTGCAACATAGGAGCAAGTTTGTAGGAATAACCACAGATTTGGTGAGGGGGTACCGATACCAAGTACCAATACAGAGCATGCAGTCTAAATGGCTGGACATTCTTATATTAATCATAAGAAAACATAAGTGAGATTCCAGAGGAGATCTGGTATTATAAGGGCTCGTTCACACTAGGCTGTTTTGCCAACGCTTGCCAAACGCCCCTATAGCGTTTGGCAAGCGTTGGTCCGGCGTTTGCGGAGCGTTTTTTAACGCTCCGCAAACGCCGCATGCGCGGTTTAGCAGCGGTTGCTAGGCGTTTGCCGAGCGTTAATAACGCCCCACAAAAAACCCTATAATGCAGTTTGAGTGGTGTTACCGCTCCGCAACCGCACCGCAAACGCCGGCCCGGCGTTTGCGGAGCGGCACCATAGACGAGAATAGGAGGCTTCAAAGCCTCCTGACTCGTCCAGAGGCGTCCGTTTTGCCGCGACGCAACGCGACGTGACGCAAACGCTCCCGTTAGAGAACAGCACCATGTGCTGTAATGTGCAGAATTGGCAGAGGCGTTTGGGAAGCGGTAAAAACGCTTCCCAAACGCCTCTCTGCCGCCTGCACACAAGGCTAGTGTGAACGTAGCCTAAGTCATGCAAAAACCATATTTAAGGTACCCATATACCATGCAGTTTTTTAATGAGAAGAAGAAATCTTATGATGATTTTTGTTGTGGGAGCAATAAGAAGTTTAAAAAAGTGACAAAAAGTATTGTTAATGGGATATTTTTTAGCAATCTTTTGTAGTGAAAACGTATCAGTCCCTGTTCACAAACATTTTAACAGCAAAAAAAAAAAAAAGCTTGTTTACACTTGCCATTCGTGTGGGCAGTAAAAACATTCAGTTGAACCGCATTTGTACTGCCCCCAGGTGCACCCTCTTAAGTTGCAAAGGTGGCAGCCAGGTTTTGACAGGAATTGTACCTCCTGTCATGTTTGGCAGGCACTACTGCCCCCTGAACGTAACCTATTCAAGAGGTGTTGGGGCTTTAGTGCGGCATTAAGAGGGTTAAAACAGGTGGTGAGGAGACAACACACGTTGCCTTCTCATTGCATTTCACATGCCTCTGAAAAGCAATCTTTGTGCACATTGCTTTTCAGAGTAGCTGCATTTCTTACCATAAGTGTAAGCGAGGCCTTCGTGATATGAACTATATGCTTGTGAATTGAATTTTTACTTCTGCAGAAAAAAAAACCTATTGTCTTTGGTCAGTTTTATACATTGCATGGATTTAGCAAATTGAATCACCAAGTCCTTTTTGCTATAATTTGTATTAAAACACATACATGGATTCCACTCACTAACTCCCTACTTTGTGTAGCCACTTCTTCCCCTGTGTTGAATGGGAACATCTTCCTGCTATGGCCAAATGATTCAGCAAGGCAATGCCATGAGCTAGAAGTGACAAGGAAACTACATTTAATTTTGACACTTTTCGAAGACTACAGTGTTGGAAGATTCA